AAGACATCCATCTTAAAGCACAAATACCTACATACTCAAATCACTGGCAGCAAAAGAGTATCAGTAAACTCAAACCATCATTTAGGCAGAGTTCAGTTAATTTGTAGACTATTTTAATATTTCAATCATTAAATGTGAACTTTTTTTACAATTTAATTCATATCTCTCTCTCTCTGAAAGGGCTTCAAAAAGTTGTGGAAAACTTCATTATCTTTTCATTCCATTTTTTCACAAAAAAATTTAAGCCCCCTTTTATCTACGGGGTGTGCCCTTTCTTCTTTGCCTGTAAAGGGAGAATCTGCCCTGAGACTTAATTACAACTGGTTCAATTATTTGCTGCTCACTCGTTCATTCCCTAACTACTGAGTGCACAACTACCACTGTGCCAGGAGGGGGTTCTCCTGGAACTTCCAACCTAGTGGGAGGCCTGTGTGGATTAGGAGCAGATAAAGTCTGTGCCCAGGAAAGAACTCAGCATCCGTACAAGCCCTGAGGCAGGAAAGGGCCTGGTGTGTTGAAGTGACTGAAAAAAGGCCATTGTGAGAGACACGCGTGTGATGGGGCTGAGTAGTTAGTTCTCAGACGGTTTACTACAAGCGCAGCCAGGCACTCATCTGGGAACATGATGCTCAGGAACTTACTGAGCTCTAACGATAACTCAACGAGGCAGTGTGATTGGCCTATTTCCCAGATGAAGACAGCGAAGCCCAGAGCAATCACATAACTTGTCCCGAATCACACTGTCTGTTAGTGGTTGAGCATGTTCTAAGGACATGGTAAAAGAACATCAAATGAGAAAAAGACTAATTTAAATTGAACCTTTTCCTTCTTGTAAGCATAAATCAGCACATAGAAAAACATGAACAGCTAATTAATGCATTGGCCAAAATGTTCTGATGTAAAAGAAGGGGCAAAAAAAATCTCTCGCAAAGACACAAACGTGTTACCTCTTACCACCTTATTTACAACGCCCTTTGCCTAGGATGTGGATCATGGTAATATTCCACTTCTCATGATTACAAGGAAGCCACTGTGCTATATGAGGAAAAAACAGTTTACCTATTTAAAAAAATCTGATGGTAATTTGAAAATCATAAAAAAATTGGAAATCCATGATGAAAAAAAATTGGTAATTCTTTCAGCTACCAAAGCTAGAACCTAAAATTCAATTCAGGTAAGTTTAAAAATATTTACTGAATGTTAATACAGGTAGTCTCCAATTTATGACTTATTCAAGTTATAATGAACAGCAACTATGTATGACTGCCCGTTTTTAATTTTTGTTGATAAATCTTATTGTAAGCAATGTGTTATTACACATTATATCTGTAAGTTTACATGTTTTCAACCCCCAAGGACAAATAAACATCAGATTTATAAAGGTAATACTAATAAAAGACAATAATAATGGAAACAAGAGAGAAATGAGGTATTTAACTTATTGCAGAAATGGCTTTACAATGAACTTGTTAGAATGGAACCACCAACGGAGGGGTTCCGTGTGTACCAGACATGGCTCTCCATGCGTACCAGGCACAGCACTCCATGCGTACCACATAGCCCTCCGTGCGTACCAGGCATAGCACCCCGTGCGTACCAGATACAGCACCCCGTGCGTACCAGGCACGGCTCTCCGTGTGTACCAGACACAGCACCCCGTGTGTACCACATAGCACTCCGTGCGTACCAGGCACAGCACTCCGTGCGTACCACATAGCACTAGGCGAGAGAAATGAAAAGATGAGTGAAACAGATAGTCCTTTCTCTTCAGTAATCTCATAGTCCAGTGAGTTAGGTCAACATATACACAAAAAAAGTAAAATATGATAACAGTGGGAGGGGAAAAGGGAACAGGTATAAAA